AAGTCAACAAGGCTACAAATTACCCAGGAGTAAAACCAATTATAACTACAGGTGTCTCTCCCAAAGTTATTTTCCCGAGATGTGTCAATGGCTTTTAAAGGCTGGAGTCTCTTCCAAGACCCTTTTATTCAAACAACTCTTCTGCACGCAGATTTATTCCACAGAAAAGGGAACAATTCAGGAACAGTCATGAATATTCATGTCACCCCATACAGCGCCAGAAAACAAGATTGATATTGCTGGGAATGTTCCCAACACCTTATCAAATCAATTCCTTAAATTAGTTCTGTGACTCAGAGAAAATCGCGTTCCTTGCGTAGGGTGGGCGAGGGGATCTACGTCTCTTCTCCACGCCTCGTCGGCTCCCTGGGAAGAGGTTACCAGTCCACAGAAGACCGGTGTAGCCCTGGCTGTGGGCCTGAGGGGAGCGATCTGCCCTGGTAAGCCTGGGGTGTGGACAGACGCGGCGATGGCTGTGTCCGCTGCTGGGTCCTCCTCGTGTTCCGGGGGCCTCACTCGCCCTGCCGCCTATCTACGCCCGTTCTCTCTTTCCACACCGTCCAGGGCCCCGGGGGGCCCCCAAGTCTGGGATGCCGAAGTCCCTCGCGCAGGACGGTGCAGCGTCAAACAAACCCCATATGCAGCCGCCCGTGCGCGCTCAGTCCCTGGATGACTCCTGACACCGTGATAGTTGTGCTCCGTGCACGAGGAGAACAGGGTGCACACGCAGTCACACGCAGTCACCCTTCACGGGGGGACACAGCCCCGCGCGCACAGAGCACACCTGAGTCCTCCGGCGGCCCTGCTCGCCCCGCCCTCCGCAGGGTCACGCGCACCCCGCACCCCTCCTTCGGGCCTCTCAGCCTCCCTTCCAGTTTCCCATCACACCTTTCAGATTCCAGCCGGAGAACAGGTGCTCTCTTCCCTCCCCTCAGCAATGTGACCTCCAGAGCCATCCGTTTGGGTGACACTCCGGTCTCTTCCGGCTGAATAAGTTTCTTTTTTGCCCGCTTGGTGTTTGGACAGCGCCCCGACGTGTCCTCTTGTCTTTTTTTCCTAGTCCCCATACAGCGCTCTGTGATAAGCACGGAGAACAGCCGAATTCAGTTAGGGAAATGCAGACAGATGTCTAAAAGTCATTAAATACTTGGAGATGAATGAAAAATTATAAATAACTTCGGGATACAGAAAAATTCAAAAGAAACTAGGAGATATTTTGTATGACATGAAAATGAGGACCACGTAGGACGATGAATAATGCGCGTGGAATCCTGTCCGAAGTGACGGGAAGTCTTCAGCCCCATCCAGTTAGAAAACACCGAGCTTCTTGCTGCCCTGCCCACCTCAACATTTTCCTCCTAAATTCCCCGGGATGAATGTGATCATTGCACCGGTAAAACTAATATTCAACAAAGAAAATATAAAGCTTCTAAAGATCTAAATACAACATTTTGAAAACAGTGTTTTGCATCCCTGGAGACCAAACCCAGGCCCTCGGAGAGCTAAGCACGAGCCCCACCGCAAAGCTGCAACCTCAGCCCTAAAAAACTTTTAAAAAGTGCGGATTAATTCCCAAGTAAGCAGAAAGAAGGAACTGAAATGATCAGCAAGCAGCACGCACTCGGACACGTGTGCACGGCCAAGAGATGAGAAACGGAAAGATCAGCGCAACGGAAGGTCTGTCCCTGCCAGGAAGCGGTAAAATTGGAATTCCGTCTTCTCCTGCTCACGTTTCCGAGCTGTCAGTGTTGGCGCCGCGTCCCTACGCTTACCCCAGACCACATCCAGGTCTGTGTGCCCGCGTGAGCCTCGCGCGTGCAGTGGCTCCCGGTTCTCGAACTTAATTCCCGCCGCAGTCCCGGAAGACGGCCGCGGAGTCGGTCACCAAGAGGCGGCAAGATTGTGGATCGCTTGTGAACCAGGCGCCGGTGCGCGCGCGCGCGTGATATCCACGTGATGATGATTACAAAAGCGTGAGCCAAAAGGACAAAAGATTGGAAACACAAAGAGCCGCAGGAAGACGACGGCTGGGCGGGAGCGGACGCGCCGTGTGAGGGCCACCGCACGCGACCCAGAAGAAAAGCTCGGCCGTCAGATCGGCGCACGTGTGTCCCAGACAGAGAAATACGGCGGTGAGAGGTGAGAAGCAGACTTGATATCGTCATAAACTAGGAACAGCTACATGGGTGGATGCGCAGGCGCGAGTACAAAAGTGCACGTATCATTGTAGAGCTGAGATTGGCAGTGGGCCGGCTGTCACTAAACGGTGTCCACAGGGCACAGGAGAGACAGGAACGCGGGTCTCGGACGGAGGGGTCAGACAGGCCCAGGAAATGGCAGCTTGCTCTCTCCACCTGCCTGAAAACTTGTCTCCGACTCGAGCAAGGTGCCTTGAACCTGCAGATCCCTCTGGGCGAGGTGCATGTTACCATCACCAGCTCGTTCAATCCGGAAGCTCTTCTCTTCCCTGGAAACAGTGAGTAACAACAACCCGATGGAAAGGGACCCGATCAAAGCCACAGCCAAGGTGGAATTGGCTTCCCTGCTGTGAACAGGCACCAAGGAAGAAGCCAGCGTGAGGCTGAAGACTCTGCTGGGGCCCAGGGTTTCGGAGGTCTCAGTTCGTGGCCCACTGGCCCACTCCCGCTGCTCTGCAGGAGCGGAACTGGTGGGGAGCGCAGGGCATTGAAGCTGCTCACCGCACAGAGCTGGGAGGCAGAGGGAGAAAGCCTGGGCCGGGGCCACAGCGCTCCCTCGGGACGACCCGGGACCTGAGCCCACACGGGGCGGGACCAAGCCTTCAGCTCGGGGCTGTGAGGGTCTTTCCCGCCCCAGATGCGCACCGGGGAAGCTTCCCTTGGGGTTCCGTCCTCATCGCTGTAAAATCCCCGGCCATTGTCTCTGCGTCGCAGCCCAATCTCGCTCTGCTCTCTGCTTCCGAAACTCTGGTGCTGACCTCGTTGCGCACCTCATTGTGTGTTATCTGTCCTGCACCCATTTATCCTCTCTGTGACCTATTCTGGAGGCTGAGGCAGGAGGATTGCCGGGAGTTTGAGGCCAGCCTGAGGTACAGAGCAAGTTTCAGGCCAGCCTGGACTCGTAGGAGACTTTGGATTTCTGAGGTTTCTAAATTATATTATGATAGGGTAGAGTACAGTTGTATTTTTATTTAATCATGTTAATAAGTACTTAAACCTCCTGCTTTTACTTTTAGGACAAGAAAACCAACTGGTGGCATTGATTCCATATAGTGATCAGAGATTAAGGCCAAGAAGAACGTAAGTGATTATAAGAAAATAATAAAGTTTTCTGGTTTGGTTTTTATATATTTTTCATTGCAAATTATATAGCAATAATTACTCTAGTTAAGACCACTAAAAAGAAGATTGCAGTTCAAGGCCAGACTTAACTACATAGAGAGAGAGACCCTGCCTCAAAACACACACACACACACACACACACACGCACACACACACACACACACACACACAAACTAGGAAATCTAGCACTGTCTTGGGCTTTCACTTTCTTCTTTGTAATAAATGTGGGGGGGAAACGCCATCTCATTCTAATGAGCACCTGTTTGCGAGGCGTTTTCCCTGGGATTCTGGAGCTCAGAGCTGTCAGTTACAACATGGTTACCAGGCAACAGTGTCACTGAAGGCCACCAACCAGAGCAGCGGTTTCTCCAGGAACGTTACTGCTGTGACACCAGCAGCAATTTCTAATGTCTTCCCACTCCGGAAGGTTATTGTGTGCAAACATATTTGAAGAGACGGATTTATCGGGTCGGAAAGTAGAACACATTGGCCACCGCAGTACCTGTCGATCTCCACACTGCGCAAGTCTGCAAAACACATTTACACCCTCTTCAGGATTCTCAGGTTATCACCTTATCGGGCCAGGCTCCTGAATTAGTTTTGGTTTTTGGTACCGGGGATTGAACTCGGGTCCTTGCGCTTGCGAGGCAGGCCAGCGAACTGCTGAGCTACATCCCCGGCCCTCTGAATTAGTTTTGTGGCATGGAATAATATGTCTTTCTCCTTGGCCTCCTTTCTCTCTTTCTTCCTCTCTCTCTGTCTCTCCCTCTCCGCCTCTGTCTCCCCCCACTTTTCTCCTGTATGGCTGTAAAAAATATACAGCATTTCCTGAAGCAGGGAGCCGTCTCCCATCCCAGGAACTGAGGTGTCACAAAACCAGCTCAAACCCCATTCAGGGAAGGGAAGGGCCCAGTGGAAGCCCGTGGGTAACTATGTCATGGAAAAAAGTGAGAAGAGGGAATCGTTTTAACCTGTTACATTCATTTATTCAACTGGAAAGAAAAAATAGCTTGGGCATGGTGGTGCAGGCCTGTAATCCTAACACTCAGGGAGGCTGAGGCAGGAGAATCACGGTGGATCCCAGCCTGGGCAAGCTTGCTACTTATTGAGCCCCTGACTCAAAAAGGGGTGCAGGGCTTGCAGCTCAGTGCCAAAATTGGGTTCGATCCCCAGTACCACCACACGCACACACACGTGTGCACAAAGCACCTAGTATGTGCTGCTGGGAGCACAGAAGACTGCGGGAGTAACTCCTCGTCTCACTGAAAGACGCGGGCCAAGTCTTTTTTTTCCAAGTGGTCTGGGTTATGCAGCACAACAAAATGCACCGGGAGAGCCCGTAGAGATCAAAGTGCTTCCGGCACGAGCCCACCTCCAGCTGTCTTCTCAGGCCTCAGCTCTTCCGTCTGTAAAATGGGCTTTCGTAAATTCTGCACCGAAGATAATTTCTAGGAGGACTATCAATTTCTCCTCGGTAGCGACTTGTAGGCTGAGGCAAAAAGGCGAGGCCCAGAAATCGCCAGGCAGAAAGAAGATCCTTTCCAAGTGTACACTTACACTTTCCCACCTCTCTTTCAGATCTCGGTTCTGAGCTAGTGCGCACGCGCCGACTCAGCCGCCGCAGAAACCACAACTCCCAGAGGGCGCCGCGCCCTCGCTTCAGCTTCGGCGAGCTCTCTCCAAGGTGCGCGCGCAGTTTGCGTCGCAGAGCCTCGCGCAGGGACCACGACTCCCAGAGTGCTCCGCGCTCTCGCCGCTGTCAAGCAACATGGCCGCTCGTAAGTTGGGACGCTGCGGGAGCTGCGGGACCCGGGGAGTTGTGGAAACCGCAAAGGTCTGGGGCGGAGACACGGCGCAACACTAAGGGCCCTAGGGTCCGCCTAGCACGCGGCAGTCACCGGGGCTCCTGCAGGGCGGGGTGGCACGAGAGGGCTGGAGGTCACCTGGACAGTTCCCGCAAGGGTGACCCTCATCCTTCCACTCCAGGAGTCGCCGCCTTCCTCAAGAAAGCCTGGGCTCAGGAGCCGGTGCTGGTCGTGTCCTTCGCTATCGGGAGCCTCGGTGCGTGAGTTTCCCTGGCGCTAGCGTGCATCCGCCGCTCTCAGCATTTCACCCGCACGGGTGCATCTTGCGCCACAGTGTGCGCCACCTCCCGGCGCCCCTGGCCTATTGCACCCTTAAAACG